GCGGGAGGTGCCCCCACCTGACCCCGAGTCAAACCAAAGGGCTGAGCCTGGCCCTCTCCACCCGTGGGGATGCGCTCACCCAGCTCTGCCAGCAGGGTCTCGTCTTAGACTCCTGTGGACAAAAGCTGAGTCCGCTCATCAGAACTTGGTGGAAAGAAAAGGGAAAAAACGAGGAGGAAGCAACAAGGCCTAAGATGACAAAACATGTTTCTCCGTGACATTGATTTTCTCTGTAATTCAGACCTAGAAGCTTTGCCTCACTCGTGTCCTTGCTCCCCCTGGTGGGCGTCTTCTTCATCGCAGGCATGGGTTGCACTGACGACTTCCCATGGACCATCCTACCTCCTGCTTAGAAGGGCTTCCCCATACTCCAGAGAGAGGGAAAGGTAACCCCAGCCTCCAGCCATCCTCTCAGCCTCTGAGATTAAAGGGCCAACGAGTCCTACTCTGAGATACTCCTTATTTTGTTTTGATGTATTGAAAACATGTCCTTTCTTTCATATAAGATGCTTTGCAAAATTATAGGACATCTTAGTTGATTAGCGACACAATTCAGACCTAAGTAGGCTTAGAAACCATCACCACTGACAAGCACTTGCTAAAGAAGTCAGGAGCAAAGTCTGACTGTGTCAGTGGAACTGCAGGTAAAGGTTTTCGCTCGGCCATCCCAGCCACTTAGCCTGGAAGCAAAAGATTAGAAAGTACTTCCTGGCCACCGTGATTCAACTTCTTCTTCTAGACACATTCCATTACATAGTTATCTTTTTTTTCAGTATTTAAAATTCATTTCCTTTTCTTGTTAGGGTATACTCTATTTTCCCATCTAGAACTTTTAAAGAATAGTCTCTCTGATATTTTAAAGCTTTTATGTTTGTGTCATTTCTCAATACTTTTCTGCTTGTCAGAACTTCCTTTCTACTTTTTACCACATCACAGGAAAGGTAGAAACTTTATATCCCACAAACCATCTCTATTCCCCAGAGGTATTGTGCTAACCGACCCTCTTCTCCCATCTGAAAAGCTTATGTATAGATCAGACATCAGTGGGAATGGTGAGTAGATTGCAGCCAGTGATACAGAGCAGAGTTTGGGGATTTGAAAGACTTGGATTTTGATCCTGGCTCCTCTTCCTTGCAACAGTGAAACTTTAAACGATCCCTGCAGCCTTCTGTGCTGCAGTTTCTTAACCTATGCATTTTGTCCTTGTGAGGATGAAATGACAGCATGCGTATAAGAGCATCTTGGTGCAGTGCATAGCCTTCAAGAAGCACTCAGAAAATGGGGGTTTGGTTGGGGTTATTATGTCCTGGATATTATTCATATAATGGTAAAACTGTTTTTTCTGTGTGACACTAGGATAATGAACATACAGGTTTGTCCCAGAAAGGCTAAAATCATTGCCTAAGTACTAGAAAATTTTGTTTTTGGTTAGCTATACATTTCTTGACTCCAGAAAAAGGATTTCTAAAGGTGATCTCTTCACCCCATATATATGAGCATATATTCTGTGCAGGTACCTGTATTAGGCCTTCTAGAGGATAAATAAAGCATGGCTCCAGCTCTCACAGAGTTTACGATCTTGCTCAAACCTAGGGCACAAACTCAAGTACAATGTACTGTAGAAAGTGCATGTCCTGAAATATTTTCAGACACAGTGCTATAGGTGATCAAAGAAGGCTGCCTTATTTCTGGCCAAAGGTGTTCAAAACCAAATCCTTTCTAACCAGTCCCAGGTGATGCTGATGGTCCTGGTCTGGGGACCACTCTGAGAACTGCTACCTTAGGTCACGCCCTTGTCACTTGCTGTTGGGATTGTTGCCCTGTCTTCCTAGCTTAACTTCTGTCTCTAATCCTTACCCTTTTTCTCACACTCTCCACCCTGCCTTCAGATCTAGGGGGAAATTTTTCTGGCTATCAATTGCCCAGGGGATGAATGTCAGAATCTCTTCTGTGACCTGCAGTGCTCTCGGTTACCTGGCGCCTGCCTAACTCTCTAATCTCACCTGCTACCTTGATGGCCCATTCCCAACCTCTGGCACACTGGACTCCTGCAGTTTCTTATTACCAATGTCATTTTGTTCTGTCCTCGCATCTGCTGTTCATTGTGTCTGCAATGCTGCAAATCCCTTTCTTCTCTGACTAACTCGTATGGGCCCTTCCAAACCACTCAGGAGCACTTCCTTGGGGAAGGAGTACCTCTTCATCTGCAGTAAGGATAGGTACCTCACCTATGTGCCTTCCACCTCCCTCCCCTGGTAGTTATCACATGACTGCACCTGCCTCCCAGTCCACCTTGCCCACAAGACTTTGAGCTTCCCAACAGCAAGAACCGAATCTGTCATCTCTGTAGCCATAGTCCCAGGCAGTAACTTGCCTGACATAGAGTGGAGATCATGGGTGTTGAATGAAAGATCCAGAAATACTACCTGAAGTATGTAGGCATTTTAGCCAAAGATAAAAAGTGGTTATAGGATCTGGACTTACAAATAGAAGCAGAAGAACATTCCAGGTGAGGAAACTTAAACCTGAGCTTGGACTTGGTCAGGCTTTGGTGAGAGGTCAAGTCTGTCTGGCTGCACTGGCCTGTTGAGGGAGACAGCACAGATACAGTTAGCACGACTCAGCGAGAGACTGAATGTGGGAGTCCAGGAAAGACCCGGACTGCAGGTGGGAACACGGAGGTGTCACTCAGCAGGACCAGACTATCCAGAGATGGATTAAGCTGATAAAGAGTGAAGATGGGTGAGAATCAGGAGTGTGAGTGCAGCCATGGTGGATTTGGGGCACCATTAGGACACATTCCACTGTCTTCCTTACTTGTCTTCCCACCCACCTTACTCATATTTTTATCTTCAGTGCCTAATAAGTGCTCAGTGAATGACGAATATTCATTGTATGCAGTGGAATCAGAGTGAAGCCCAGGAGTAGTCCTGCACGAGCCAGGAAGAGGAGTGCTGGTCTCAGTGGTGATTTTCGGTAGTGCCATTGCCACCCATGATGCCACTCGTGCACATGCACTTAATGCAAGAGAAAAGGCGGGCCTTGGCCATGGCAGCAGCACCAGGCAAGGGATCCCAAGTGATGGCAGTAGGAGCTCAGGAGCCCACTGCTTGTCCCTGGAAATGGGGAAAGTCTTAGCATTCATGAAGATCAGCCTGGCTGAGAGCTGAAATATATTCTCTGCCTCACTGAGCTAATGCAATAAACATGAGCGTTAATACCTTTATTCTGTGTTTAAAGATTACGTCTAGAAAGAGTTATACATTGTCACTGCTAATCCATTTTTTTCTTGTGAAATAGACAGCTTTATGACTATTATGACACTGTTCTCAACATCTAACTACTACTGTTCTTCCATTAAATTTAACACGTTGACGTGTATTTAGAGAATATAATATAATGTTGAATATGTAAAGAAGTGGTTTTCCTTCTGACCTGCTCTTCTAGTTTTTTTTGTGCAGTATTAGGGGGCCTTCTTATATGTGTGCAGAGAAATATCTAAATAAAAATAATCTAAAAATTAAAGCACTAATGGCCTTTGGATTAAACATACATACAGTCAAGAGTTACTTCTCTAAGCAGACATCCTTAAAGATAAATTACCTATGGTTGTATTTCCAAATTTGTAACTCCTTTGGTAAATCCATCAAAAATCAAAATGAACCATGTGACCAAGCAGGACGTTTTACTACTGAAAATAAGCACATGCAGGGGGTGTGTAGAGGAAAAACAGTAGATAAAGAGGCAGGACTGAATTTCCTTTTATACGCAAGCTTGGGGACAGGCAGACCATTATTCACTGTGCCTGCCACTGACTAATAGAAGCACAGGGTTTATGAACTGCAAGTCGTTTACGTTTAAAATTCAATTTCATTTCTTCAATCATCATGAGCACGAATATCTGATTAAAGTTTTTAGGCCCTGAGATCCTAGTGTAGCAATCTATAAAGCACATGCTAGTTGGAGTTAATTCACTGAACAAATACTTGTCAAGCACTTATGTGTGTGTCAGCCTCTGTGTTAGACATGAGGGAACAAGGCAGACCCAGGTATTCTGTCATGTTTGAGACAAACCTGGACTTCCAGACTCTCATTTCATTGTTGTTGTTGCTACTGTGGTTAACACATGAATGACAGGCTTTGTTTCTAGTTTTCAACTTGAACTATTACATAAAAATATGAAATGCTGAACTTCTGATGTTCATCCAAAGTAGCAATTTTCAACGTGCTTTTTAAAAAAATTCCACAGCGTGTCCGTTTTGGTGGGGCCAATTAGAAAATCTGGGGAAAGTGGAATTCAGGAAGTCAGGGAGTCATAAGAATGTGTGGAATTTCTAACAGATTTTATTAAACATTTTCTGTATCGTGACATGTTCCAGAAGACCATAAAAGTTAGTTTATACGAATATAAACTACTTTTTGCCTTGCTGATAACTGCAAATAAATAATTCAGATGACCACCCACCAAAAAACCAAGACGTTTGGGGGTTTGTGTGTTTCCTATGACATGTTTTCCTTATAAATTTTTATAATCAAAGAGAAAAATAAGAAAGTGGTACCTCATTTTATTCCCATTTTAAAATTCTGCAGCAGTAGTGTTAATATTTCTGTGTATCACAATAATATCATTATAGAAATATAAGATAATCATTAACCTCTTTTCTCGATTTGACTTTAAGGAGGGGATTGAAGGCATTCTCTTTTTTTGCATTTTGGTACAGCAATGCACTGATTTCTCTAGTTGAAATGACTTAATCTGTCACATGGTTTTCATGGTAACAATTAACTAAATTAGATACAGGACTATAAATTTGGATAGCACTGTTTTATTCACTAAGAAGCCTTATGTAAAAGTTCATAAACGTTGCACAAAGCACAGGTGTTCGGCCCTGGTCCAGAGGTAATAAGTGGGTTGGAAGGAGTTGGATGAATAACCTTTAGCTTAATATGGCTTGGTGAATTAGATCCTATATATGCTAATTTTGTACTTTTTTTAATAGATGGAACTGATTAAAAATATAAGTACTGCCGAACAACCCTATTTATTCACCCGACATGTTCATTTCCTCAACTTTTCAAGGTAAGATATTTTCTAGTTTAATGGTTCTTTCATTTTCTTCTAATGAACAATTAGTTTAGAAATCTACCTTTATTTATAAGGTAGTGTAACTGTCCTAGAAAAGACATTTTTAATACATTTATTTTTGCTACAGAGGAATCAAAGTTTGAAATATTTGGACAGAAACTTCATTTCTTCCCAAGACCCCATTAAATCTTATGAAAACTTGGATTTATTTTTAAATGAGATGCCATTTGTCCTGACAGTTCTTTAAAAAGAAGAGAGAGAAAGAGAGAAATCTGATTTGGTGTTGAAACAAATAAGAAGGCAAGAGATGGGTATTTTAACATAAATATTTTATTGCACATTTTTGTACAATTTGAACCTGCACAGGACTCTGGGAATAACTTAGTGGTAGAGTAATGTATAGGATTCAAAGAGCTAGTATTCACCTCTCTGTCTACCTTTTTAATACAGTCATGCACTGCATAACGATGTTTTGGTCAATGACAGACCTATATATAACAGAGGTCCTATGAGATTGTAACACCGTATTTTTACTGTACCTTTTCTATGTGTAGATACACAAATACTTCCCATTATGTTACAGTTGTTTACAGTATTCAGTACAGTAACATGCCATATAGATTTATAGCCTGGGAGAAATAGAGTATACTATTCTATATAGCCTAGGTGTAGTAGGCTATGTCATCTAGGTTTGAGTATGTACACTGTGATGTTCCCACAATGACAAAATCACCTGATGACACATTTCTCAGAATATATCCCCATCATTAATGCAGGACTGCACTCCATTTGATTATTCTAAGCCTTGCATGTTTGATATTAATGAAGTATTTTAGAATTCTGTTTTTAATTCAGTGGCTGCAGCTTTCTGATAATAATGCATATCTTCAAATTGATGTTTTTAGACCCTCTCTTTGTTAAATTGCTAGCTTCAAGTTCTGTGCGTTCTCTTCTCCAGTGGTCCATTAGCATAGTGTCACTGTCGCTGTGCCCCACTCCCAAACTGATGGTCCTTAAGATTCCTGCTCTCCTCTGGCTGGCCCAGGTCTGTGCTCACAGCTGGAATCTGTCAGCTGACTTGTCAGTGGTTGCAGGGGCAGATCTGACCAGCCTGGAGACCCCTGGCATCAGGCATCTGACTAGCACTTCCCTCGTTCTAACAGGAGGATGACAGTACCCACAGGCCCACGCGAGCTAGCACGCCAGACAGAGCAGCAGTGGCACCTGCTAGGGAGTGTAGACCTAGTGGCACCTGAGGCCAGGCACCCAGGGAGGCTGGCTCTGGGGGAAGGACAGGGCTCTGACTGGAGCAATCCCTGCTTCTGCCCTGGCCCAAGATGCCTGACAACATGCACTGCTTGGAGGAGGTTGTAGCCTTCAAAGGATTTCCCTGCTGTGCAGCAGGCCCTGTGCAGATTAAGTGCAAAGAATGAAATTCAGCAAAGCAAGTTATTAAGTAGAGAAGAGGAGTTGCTGCCTTATATTTAAAAGTGAGCTTCCTGTGATGTTTCCTCAGCCTCCCTAATAACCAGAGGTCCCTTGGAGGGTGAAGAGGACACCTGCAAATTATCCACAGTGACCCAGGGCCAGGCCCTCAGCAGCTTGGAGTGTGTTTCCAACCACATTTATAAAGCGGCTCGTTACCGGATTGTCCGGGTCTGTGCCCTGCCTCTTCCAGAAAGCCAAGAACATATCATTAGATGTAATTAGCTAAGGAGGACTTGTTGGCTCTTTCAAGCACTGTGTTTTATGACTTGTACAGAGAAGAGCACAGCTTCTCTGATCCTTGCTGTTCTATGGAGCTTCCTTCTCTGTCACCCCTGATGTCCTCAAACCTCATTCATTAGTGCATCTTCCTTCAGAGGTCAAATCTTTACAGCCAAACAAATTGCAATGTAACAGATTTTAATAATTGTCTCAGGACAGTGTAGAACACTAATGGGAAGTCAAAGCCAGTGTCTTAATGGGATCAGCAGAGCACGACGTGGTGGCCATATTCTACTGGGCCTCAACCATCAAATACATGCACAGGAGTTTAATCCTGATTGCTTTAATTCTGAACAGAAAAAAAAAAATTGATAAATGCCTTTTAGAAGACACCACGTCTGCAGAAAGCCATGTCGGCCTGGCCGTCAGGACCTCTGGCTGTCAGAGCTTGCCTTTGCACCCATGACGATCCCAGGCAAGTCATTGGGGGCCTCTGGTTTTTTGTCTGTAAAATAGGGACAGTCCCTGCTCACCCCTACCTTGTAGGGATGCTCTGAACACGTGGAGGAAAGGCCTTCTGAGAGAAGGATGTTGTATATACTCATAGTGGCATTTAAAAGGGCATTTCTGGAGAAGTCTCAGTCTGAGCCCACAGTTTAGCTCCTGGCTATGTTTCTGAGGCAACGCCTTGAGGGCAGGGCTGGGCTTTGTTTCCCTTCCCACAGTTCCATTTTGTTCAATTAAATACATGTTTATGGAGCACCCTTTAACCTTTTTACTCTGCACTAGAACTGGGGCTTCTGCAGTGAACTTTAAATGTTCCCTTTGCTTTCAGGAAACTGATGGTTCTTCTTCCATTAAAGGGGTCAGGAAGATAAGGAGGGGGCCATGGGACTTCCCCAGGGGAGGTGGCAGGCAGGACCCTCCCCGCACAGAAGAGGAAGTCTGCTGGGCTGTCAGGGATATGTCAGCTTCAGGCAAATGAAGGGGAAGGGCCTGCCCAGGGCAGGGGCCAGGAGAAGCCAAAGCTGGACCAAGAGGGGGCCTGCAAGGGATGCAGGCAGCGCAGCCCAGAGGAGAGCACGGCTGGGATGGAGCGGCGGGCAGAGTTTTAAGCAGGAATAACTAGAGACTGGCCTGGCCAGCTTTGCTCCTTTAAAGAGCCCACCTGATTCTGTGGGAGCAATCTCCCCCCTCTCTTCCCATCCCACATTCCAGGGACTTCCATAAAAATGAACAGAAGCATAAGCTGAACTTGAACACTGGCAAGACCATTGTTATCCAACATGGGAAGTTACAGATCAGCTGTTCCTTTTTTAAGGGAATAGTTTATTTAAAGAGAACTTCTTAGACATAAATGACAAACTGTGTGCCAACAAAGAAAATCCCCAAATATACAACTGACAGAGAAAAACAACTAAGTTGGGACTTGTTGAGAGGGATTTAACATACTTTAAAAAATGAGTTCAAGACATACGTTGAATTATAAGGTATTATAAAAGATAATTAAGTTGCTCTTAAGAAACGTACCCTTATAACTGCCGACAGGCATGCTTGCTTCAGGACAATGGGGTTACTATGAGAGGAGTTGATACTGCAACCTAATATTCTTTGTAGATAGTTGTCATCTTCCGCATGTCGTTAACATGCGGCGAGACACAGAGCAGACTCTAAGAATGGAAGTCCAGGGCCGGCCTCTCTCCACACACCTTCCATTGCACACAAATGTTCCAAACCTCTGAAAGTTTGGCATTATGCCAAAACTAATTGCCCTTTATTTCTTTTTCTCCATCAAAAATGGCATTTTTACCTTGAAATTTAGACACTGTGGGTGATGTAAAATGCTATCCTGTGAGCTCTTGGTGATTCCACAGCTGGTTTACTTCATTTTTTTCATCATCTAGCCTTCTTCTTCTGTTCCTTCTTTTTCCTTTTTTAGACTTAGGAGCAAACATTTGGCTAAATCCAGTTTTACTAATCCAAGCAAGCAATAGAATCAGACCAGCGGGGTGTTTTTGTAGTTGCCTTGGGGAAGGTTTCCTGCCGGAGGACATAGGGACTACCAGCTCAGCAGAGAGCTCAGAGGCTGCAGTTGGGTTCACAGGTTTTGCTCTGGGTCACTGTTCCACGCAGGTTTTGAACTCCCTGGAAACCTGGGCCAGACAAATGTTCTTCACCTGAACCACCTAGAGAATTGAGTCAAAGCCACCCTTGCTGTCACTCTTTGTCATGATGTTTCAGTAGGGTTGTTAACATTTGGTTACTGTGACTGCATGTATCTTTTTCCAGCTTTCAAAGTAACTTTAGGATACAATTTTTGAGTAAGATCAACTTTCTAATATTAACAGTCTCCCTTCAGATATATCTTAGAGCCACACATGGGAAAGACGTATGACAGACCACAACTCAGTTTGTCTGCCCTCTGCCCCCACTTTGTGCTTGTTTTCTAAGCTTTTTGTGGGGGGGTGGGAAGTAATTCTTTTCCCAATCTACACTTCCCCTCACCCCCCCACCAATGGCCTCTTGCAGAAAAAAAACTTAAGACGTTTTGCCTCAGAGCCCAATGCCATCAAAATAGTCCAAGTGCATTATGAGAGATACCAATATGCTAAGTAACTTCAAACCACCACTTCTCTCAACCTTTTTCATGTCATTCTCTTTTTCTCACTGGTAACCGCCTCACCTTCCTTTGCTTCCATTTCTATTTTCTCATGTATCTCAGATGGTGGCTCCCACGCCGCCACTAACTTGCAGAAACAAAAGATTAAAAATGAATCAGTCACTAGAGAAGCAGGCGGGGTGCGATGTGGAAGGGAGGCGTTTTGGACTCTCTCTTCCCTGCGAGTGAGGTCTTAATTACGGATGTGAACAAATGTTTTTCACATCAGAATTTTGTGAACAAAAATCTGTCCTTCTGATGGCGTTCTTTACCAAAACAAATCAGGTCTTACTAATTTCATAAATCACTTTGTTTTTCACATCTCATTCGTAAATGTAGACTTTGTTTTTTTATTAGCAAAGTGATCCATTTTGATTCCGTGCCCTTTGAATCTTTCATAATGTGGCGGAAGCCGCCAGCTTTGAAGAGAACACCACGGTAAAAGTTGATGCGAGCAGTTGGCGCTGCGTCCAGCTCCTCACGCACAGCACGGGAGCTCCGTTTGCGAGTGATAGTTTTCTCTCAGTTTATCCCGCTTGAGCACTGCCAGCCTGGTCCTCCTCACACGGAGCTCTTGCCCCCTCATTTCTGCTTTTCCCTCCATGTTGAGGTGAGTCGGTGCCGCTGCACGAGCCCACCAGCTGTGTTGGCCCCTCAAGGACAGGTATAATCTGGGCTTTCCTGCAGCCACCGCACCCCCTGTTTATTCCATGCCTTGTTGTTCATGCTCCTCTCCCAGCATCAGCCCTCACCCAGCCGTCCCTCCCTTCCCTCGCTCGTCTCAGCTTCTCCCAGCTAATGTTTCCACCTCCTGCTTTAGCACAGGCCAGAGAGCAGACACAGCTGTCTCTTCCACTTATGTTTTGTGCTGCGGGGTCCTGTCCTGGGCAGAGAAGATGAAGTGCCCCCTGAATGGGGCGTAAGGACAAAGGGCAGACCTCCCTCCATGCTGGCCCCGTAACTGCCAGGATTGTCCTTACGGCCAGGCAGGGGTGTCCAGCAAAGGACCCTTAAACAACCATCTCTGCCCTTCTCATCCTCAGCAGCTCCTCACGCTGCCCTCCCTACCCCCGACCCCTGCAAAAAGCTGCATCCTTTTCCAAGATGGCCCTTCTCTCACTTCAAAGTGTCTTCTTCCCTCATGGACAAGGATCAAAGCCGTGGGCCTCTGGCCTGGGGTACTTTTCATCTTTTAATATAGGTAGCAGCACAAAGATAACCTCTGCATCCAGGGCAGAGGTTACAAAGAAGATAGACTTCCAGCAGAATGGTGGTTGGGGGAGGGGGAAAGGGATTCTTTTGTCTAATGGGTACAGAGATTCAGTTTGGGGTGCTGAAAAGTTCTAGAGGTGGTTAGTTGTGATGGTTGCACAACATTGCCAATGTCCTTAATGCCATTGCCTTGTGCATCTAAAAATGGTGAAAAGGGTAAATTTTATGTTACAAATATTTTACCATGATTTTAAAAAAGAAGAAGATATGCTTTCAAAAACTGTTTCCAGTCATAGAAAACTCTACTGTGGCAGGAGGATAAAACAGCCTTAATTCTCCAGAATAATTCTGGTCTTAAGTCTTGATTTAATATATGCAGCGTTTTTTGTTGCAGGAAGAATACCTTTAGCATTTTGATAAAAATATACATAGAATTTTTACCCAAGTGTTTTGTGTAGCTATTGAAGAGGTGCCTAATATTATCGATGGGTCGGTTAATTGATTGAAGTAGCAACATGGGGCAGATGTTGATGAAAATGCTCAGAATGAGATAGTTAGAAATGTCTTCCCAAAATGAGAACCAGGTAGTTATTATTTCTAGAGAATTATATCCTGTTTTAGATCTTTATCTTCTCACCAAAAAATAATCAATGAAAGGAAAAATTAAAAGAATATGGTAAGTTTGCAGAGGGTCAGAATACCCACAGGGGTGATTACAGAGTCAGTAAATCTGACCTGTGAATAAATGTCATAGAAATTGGTAATACCTGCTATTTTAGGATGACTTAAAAGGGAGCTTCAAATATGTAGTGACAGTTGTGGTGACGAAGGGACAAAATAATGTGTTGTTGAGTGAAAAGCAAAGTATGGCCTGACTCTCTGCTCTCTAGGGTATGCACAACTTGGAACCCACGATCAGCTGTAGTCACCACAATTTTTTAGTGCTCAATGAAGACCAAATTAGAGCCATAGATTATAAAATGAAAGGCAATAAATCTTATGACAAAAGCCAAAGGAATTCTTAAAAGAACAAAAAAGTTAAAGGAACTAAAATTGAAGCTGAAAAGGCTGAGTTCTAAAAGCACACAAGAGCTAATCCTTTGTGTCAAATGGCTCAAACAAAAGGAAATGTGCTGAAAAGGAAGATGAAGACTATTGGCTGGGTATAACAAAGACTCCTTAACTGTTAGGTCAACCAATAGGACGGATTCACAGGGAGGTTGTAGAATCTTCTCTCGAGGGTTTTAAAAATAAGCCAGAGGGTTTTACTGCATGGAATAGTGGGATACAAACTATTTTCACTGTAAGAATGGAGTCATAGGTAAGCGGTAGGTTCAGGTGGGTGACCAAGAGACTTTATAGGGGTGACTAAGAATTCAGAACAGAGTTCAAAAATACTGAGAGAAGAAAAGCTGATCCTGAAAGAGGATGGAACAAGGATGGGGACATTTGTTTTCCTTCCCAGGCATGAGCACACGTGGTGTACTCTAGTGGTATCACGGTGGTAGTCTGGGCCCTTTTGTATAACTGCCGTGTCACCCCAGATGTTCCCAGTTTGGGTGGGAGCTGTGTGTACAGAAAGGATGAGGGCCGGCAGCCTGAAACCATTATTACTGCTGCCTTCTAGAAAGGGAAAGGTACATATCAGACTCTTCTCTCTCATAGTTAGAAATTTTTAGAGGCTATTATATTATCTGAAACATGACAGTAAGTTCTTAAGCCATTTAACACTTCTGTTTGGGAAGATTAATCTGGAAATTCCGCATTGGGTTACAGGACACAAAAAGGAGCAAGTCACCCATACTCAGTAAGCCTTGTCAGTCCTGCAGCTATTGATGGCAGACGGCAGCGGACGGGCTGAGCACTGTCTCCTAGCAGGAAGCTGTACGTTCACTCGCGTGATTGGGCAGTTCTGCTAATTAGCACTATTAGTCATTCCTCACATACACATAGAAGTACATTTGAGGTTTTTAAAAGCATGATGCAATTGTTGAAGGGCTAATTAGATTCTTATTTGGTATGTGTGGTTTATCTTCCTAGTCCCTAGCATTATTACTTCAGTTGCTGTTTATCATAGATATGAAACCCAATTTAATTAAAAGTGGGTGATAAGTCCAGGATGTGTATGGTGGTTCGCTGGTGGCTGGTACAGATAGCTCCTGGGGCTACAGCTAGTTGTTCATCCAGGTGCATGAATGCCATCTTGTATACGTCTGTGAACTGACAAGGTTTGTGTTGGCAGGGCCAGCCTTCCTCTTGAGCAGTGTGTTTTCCAGTGTCGTCATATTCGAGGAATCCAGAACATCGTTCATACATCCTAGTGCCTGAAATTCCACTAGGCATGACTGTCATTCCTTTTTGTTTCCTTGCATTCTCTCTGAAGGGTCTCTTTAAAAATGCAAATTACCTGGGGACACTATATGAATTAATACACAAAAAGGATTGGTGACTTGTTACGTCTCCTTTCCTCTGGCAACCGAGCCCCGTGGTGTCAGCAGAAACGTAACAACTGAGAAACATACACCTAGGTGTTCATATCTTTATTCAGTTAGCATTTGTTAAATGCCTACTGTGCGCCACGCAGTGTGCTATGTGATATCATTCCTGGCTGTGGATGAAAGAGACAGAAATGTCAACACAGTGTGGGAGACAGGGCCTGGAGCACAGAGGAGTGGGGATGGATACCCAGTGGGGATGGTAGGTGTTAATTGCCGCAGGATGTGGTTGTGACTCCAGGTGGGTTCAGCTGGAGAGAGGCGGGTGCAGGGTCCTGCCACTTTGTTTTCTCTGAGCTCTTTCTGTTCCCTGACAGAATGCCTGGATACTCCCATCAGGAGGTCACAGGGTCACAGGGCTAGCGAAGCCTGTGGATGCCTCAGGAGGTCGCTAGATCATGGCCTCTGCCCAGAGATCGCAGTGCCCTCTGCAGACTCCTCTGGCCCACTGCTTTTTAGCAGTGCAGAGAGAAAGGGGAGGAATTGTTGAGAAAAATATAGCCAGCCTCATCACTTTGCCTTGGGAAGTCCTTGCTTTGGGGCCAGCTTATAGTGGTCTGTCTAATCATTTTGTGGAAGAAATTAAAATGGAACAAATGGAGTTTTGTTTTCTTTTTACCTGAAACCATTTGCTATCACTTGAGGATAATTATATTGAATTTTGTTTTGTTCTTAATATCCTGAACATTATTACTTTTTATTATTTTTCTTAACTCTGGACATCACCTTTCCATGACTAAGAGCACAAATTCTGGAGCCAGACTACCTGGGTTCATATCCTGACTCAGTCACAAGTTATTCACCCTCTCTCTGCCTCAGTTTCCCCATGTGTAGATGGGGATTATTACAGTTACTACTCTATTCAGGTGTTGTGGGGCTTCAGCAAGTTGGTCACATAAAGTATTTTTAAAAAGGCAAACAGCAAGCACTCACTAAAGAAATGCAATATACAGGAGGTACCATTTGACCGACAAGGCAGTCAGAACTTACCAGTCAACCGAAACAGCGCTGAAGGCCAATGGTGTGCCAATAGGTTCTGTGCTAACCACAGGGAATACAAAGTTTAATACAGCATGGCCCTGTCCTCAAGGAACCTACAGGTGGGCCAGTCGCAGTGGCTCACACCTGTCATCCCAGCATTTTGGGAGGCCGAGGTAGGACGATAGTTTGAGGCTAGGAGTTTGAGACCAGGCTGGGTAATATAGCAAGAACCCCTCTCTATAAAAATTTTTAAAAAAATAAGCCAGGCGTGGTGGCATGGCCTGTAGTCCCAGCTACTCAAAAGGCTGAAGCAGGGGGATCGTTTGATCCCCTCAGGATTTCGAGGCTGCAGTGAGCTATGATTGAGCCACTGCACTCCAGCCTGGGTGGTAGGGCAAGACCCTGTCTCTTAAAAAAAACAAAAAACAAACAAACAAACAAAAAAAACCATCATCCTGCCTAGTGAGAAACCAGGCAACATCTCTACCTGAATGTTGACAGATAGCGTGGCTGGTATCAGGTACCTGGAGCAGGTTTCATCTCCGCTTCCTGCATGATGATAAATAAAACGACTATCAGGAAACACCACTTGCTTATTAAAGTGTCCATCGGCACCATAGCTGATGAGGTCATCTTTTGATAATAAAGTTAACCTAGAGGGGAACGTTGTCTAAGTTGGCCCTATTTCCCTCCCGAAGTGATGGGTTGTAACGAGCTCCATGTTTGTGTGCGTGTGTGTGTTAGGTTTGGAGGAGACCAGCCTGTCTACATCAACATCATTAGAGACCCCGTCAACCGGTTTTTATCTAACTATTTTTTCCGTCGCTTTGGAGACTGGAGAGGGGAACAGAATCACATGATCCGCACCCCCAGCATGCGGCAGGAGGAGCGCTACCTGGTAAGTCCCGTTGCATGCAAGAGGTGTTCTCTCGGCTGCCCTGGGAGCGGCTCCTGCAGGCTGGGAAGCCACCCCTCCCCGTCCGTGGCCTGCCCCGTGGCACCTCCAGGGAGCTCGGCCGCTTCCTCGGGGAGGAAGTTTGGACCACTGAAAACTTGTTCCAGATGACTCAGACCCTAGCAGACACTGACTGTCTCAAGTGGTTTTCTAATTCTGCTTGGCTCAGCTCAGTTTGTCTTTAGTGCTAGGTTTTGGGTCCCAGAGGAGAGAAAGTCTTTCCTAAGGAGTCCTGGCCAGCATTACCGTGGGTAAAAAGAAAAGCGTGTTGGGGGAATCTCGCTTAGAGGGCTGCACAGCTCCTTCTCAGCCCTCCTGCCATTCAATTCCCATGGCAACCCTGCGAGGGAGAGGTGTTTTCCAGTGAGGACCCTGAGGTCCCAAAACCATGTGGGACTCGCCAAAGTCACCCTTTGGTAAGGGCACGGCCATGACTGACCGACTGTTGCCATGTCCTCTGCCTTCAAGGCCCGGGGTCTCTCCACCACCGCACGACAGAGCCCCGCCACTGCGGCAGTAACTGTTTGCTTTCTCTGGACCTTCATTTGGGGCCCCCAGCTCCATAAGGGGTGTTAGTCTTGAGCCCAGGAGTCATTTCCACAGCACAGAAGTTGTTAGTAAAAGCAGAGGGCAGAGTTATGCATCTTTCTTCTTCCAGCACCAGAATAAAAGGTATATGTCGCATCCCTTTGTGGCCTAAGCTGACAAACGTTGGCTGGGCAGCTGACAGCCTGGGGCCTGGGAGGCTGAGATCCTGGTCTCCGTGTCTGGGAGGGCCCATCAGGTTCCCCCAGACCCATCCTGGGCTGTCACTGGGCACAAGCAGGAAAAAGTATGAGGATGAGTCAGACGTGTCCCACTGCTGGGAAGTCACGCCACACCTGTGCCCACTGCTGACCGGTCCTCGGCGTCAGCCTCGTAGCTACAGAAAAGCATCGGTTAGTCTCCGGACTGTGCCCAAACTACTGTTTCCTCATTTAATTTTTTTCAATATAATGAAGGCATTTGTTTAGAGGCTGGGAGCATTTTGGTATGTTGTCACTTCAATGTCGCTGTCATGTCTTAAAATCCATGATTAGAGTTGAGAAAATAGATACAGAGAAGTCACGTGTCTAGTTTGCAGGTGGGCCAAGCCCAGACCAAGCCCCCCACTCACTGTTCAGCATTCCTTCAGCTCCCTAAGGCTACAGTGAAATATTTTGATGGTATATATATTTAAAGTGGCTTTTTCCTTTTTTTTTCCAGCTTTGGATCGTAAAAACCCTAATCTTTTTCTTTAAAGTATATATTATGAATATAGCTATGTGGTTTTTATCCAGTGACAAGTATGTATTCAGAGTATAGACTCAATAGAGGAATGATTTCTTCTCAAATTATCTTTATTATTTGTTTTGAATCCTGATTAATATAGTTACATGTTCTTTTAAAATCAGTACATTCCGTTTAATCAAGATAATATTTCAAAATTCTGCTTCAACCCTAATACTAAGAAAGTTAGAACCAAATGATAGCAGAAAATGTTGAAAAACCAACGATATGGAAAGGAGTCTTAGAAACACTGCTCTTCGAATATTAATGTAAGGGTTGAGGGAAATTTTCTAGGGTTTTCTATGCTGTCAAGCTTTTTGATTTGATTTTATTTTTGCCATCCCGTAAATCATTTCTTGTAATACAGTCTTCACACACTCACACAAATAATAAGCCCTAATCATGAGAGAGAAAAGTTGTACACATGAAAGAAAAAAAAAATCATGGTTAAAATGTTTATTAAAAGCTCATAATATGTTGAAAATTGGTAGTGGGGGCAAGTTCTATATTTTTGAAGAGCTGATAACAGCCCTTATGATGTGACTTGAGAAATTCTAGGGAAATCTCCCTGCCTGGAATTCTACCCTTAGAGATTTGTAGGGGCCTCTTTCCAAATGTAAGCACTGTGTTCTGGAAGGTTCTGTGTCAGATGAGCTCATCAGATCGATGCTTGGCAAGGCCCCAGCAGGGAAGCACTGGACTCCCCAAGGCGACAGGGCAGAAAATTGGGGAGCCGGGGTTGAGGCAAGGAGAGCCTGGGGGTGGGGGCTGGGGGGCCATGACTCTTTCATGATCTGGCCCCAGCCTGACCCGGTTAGAAGGCTGTTTTCTTCTTCAAAGGATAGTTTGTTTATTTGGAAGAAGATGGTCTATTGCTTTTTTTTTTTTTTAATAGCTGAAACTTTTTATTCTATCTCCTTGGTCCCATTAGATTCTTGAGATAAAATTGCCCCTTTCAGAAGAGCCTGTCCTCATTTTGGCAAGCCCGGTGGTCAGTTGTTTACTCAAAAGAGGGTGTTGTTTGTGTCTCAGTGGGGCACAGGCAGCTGTGAGGAGCCCGCCGTCCCCTCAGCAAGGCCTCGGGTGGGCCAGGCCCCCGAGAGGGATGCTGACCGAGGCCACACAGGCCACCGTCGTGGGGGACCGTGCCCCGAGGCCCCTCCCTGCACTCGGCACGCACACAGGGTCTCAGCTGCTGGCCTGAAACGGATCTACTGATTTACCGCATCATTCTAGATCTCGGTGCTCCCAAGCCCCTTGCTTTATCCCGTTGCCAGAAATCGGGCAGCTCTGCTCCTGGCCCCGAGCCTTGCCTTGCGGAGCTGCTTAGCATACAGCTGAGAGGAGGCCTCCTCTGAGGGTGAAATAATATCATCTTGTGCTGCCGGGTGGTGTGGAAGAAATGGAAAGGGTAAAGCGATCCTGGGATTTGCAGGGTCCCTGGAGAGGGGGGGACACATCGCTTTACAGGTGCGGGAACGGGCCGGGTCTACAGGTGGGCTCAGGGCCCCTCCAGCAGGACAGGCCAGGCCCCCTGACTCTCCAGGGCAGCCTTTTGCCCGCTTGGACCTTGCGTTTTACTTCCTGAGTGGTAAAGCGAGAAAAGGATGGGCCATGTTTTGTGCTTTTTAAGCAAAATCATTTTATGAACATTGTCTGTCCATCTTTACAAAGGCATTGCTGTCATAGCAATTTGTTTTCAAATAATCAAGCGTTTTTTTTTTTTTTTTTTTTTTTTTAAGCTATTCTTCATCTTTTCTGGAAACAACTAGCTCTTCTAAAACTCTCTGTTTCTTTCCAAACTATTCTTCATTTGCATTTACCGGATAATAATTTTTAAATAAATTAGTGCTAGCATAGAGACAGGTTCAGCTTATAGCAGCCACACCAGGGAAAGGCAGTTGTCTTAGGCTCATTTCTCCTTGTCCAGAGCCGGACGCTCGGCTCCCCGGTGGGGAGGTGGCTGCCTCTTTTTGTGGTGTGAGCGTCCTCTGAGCCCGGGCACACCTGGACACACCCCAGCACCTGAGACTCTTCCCCAGCTGGAGTCCAGGTTCCTTTATTTCCAGGGTAGGGGACTACCTGGCACACAGATCGTATTTAATGAGATTGAATGACTTCTATCTAATGAAAAGCAACTGCTGTGACTTCCAAGTGAAGGAGGCAATCTCTTTCCCTCCGAAGCCACTCCCTTTTCTGCTGTCTGGGCTTCTATGCAAGTGGATTTCTGCTGCTGTCATTTTCACTCTGCCAGCTACACATGTGACTCAGTCTTGTGCTTTGCTTAAAACCTGGCCTTAGAAACTCTCATGGGGAAATAGTCTGCATAGATACCACTTTGTATTTTCACACTCCAAAAAAATGTCAAGCTGGGCTCCTTCCCCAGCCATTACTGCAGCCTCCCTGGGCCACCCTCCACTGGAGGAGCAGGGAGAGAGGGAGCAAATGTTCCCAGGGAGAACACTGCCTCTGTGACACTGTTTATGCGGCTTGGCTGTAAAGCGTGGAAAGTAATGCATGCTTAAAAGAAAAGATATGTAATTTACAGCTTCTTAATTCATAAAGAATTCAGTGAATCATGTTGGCCCTGTTGAATTCTGGAGAAGCCTGAACATTGGCCAGAGTCAGCAAAGGTTTCCAGAAAGCTATGCATTTTAATCTGCTTAAAAGTTTTAGACTCTGAATGTCCTTTAACTTTGGAAGTATACATATGAAATTCTGGTGGGTGGAAATTTCCACTGTCCCGACCAGCCAAGGATGTCCTGTGAATGAAACCTCAGCCATCACCACCATTCCTAAAGCATCGCTTTTCTTAAAGAAAGAAAACAAATAAGGGATTTGGATTGTTGGCATTCTAAGTGTTTCAGTAAATATCTATGTTTTCCAAATCTTTGAAGGTAATAAAGTAATGCTTTTTGTCTCCAACTAGTTCAAATTTAGTGTCTAATTGCAGGCTGAGCTAGGGGCTTAGGACATAGTGTACTTATGTTCCTTCCTTAGCTGCCCTAGCTGGGTGACTCATCTAGTGAGTCAAACTCTGAACTTTTCTTGTCTCATCTGTACAATGGGACCATATTACCTGCCAGGTCTGCATCACAGGTTGTGGGGGGAGTCAGTTGAACGTTCTACACAGAAGTGCTTTGGAAGATCTAAATCTCTAGAACACATTTCGGTATTGATGCTTTCATGACCTAAAGGGACCATTTTTCGCATAGACGTGAAACGTCTCTGCTCGGGGAGTCAGCAGGGGCTGCTGTTTGCATGGAGCTCAGGACACGCCAGACTCTGAAACTTCAGGTCTCCCTCTGCTGAGGTCTCAAATTGCCTCGCTTGACCGTTTCCCCTGGGGAACTCGTTTCTAAGGAAACTGCTTCTCTCTGTATTCCCAACAGCTGGAGATGCGTTTTGATCCCAGCCTGCTGGCATACATTTGTCCTGTGTTTATTTACTTGGAAACCTAAGCTTGTGTAGGCCCCAGGTTGTAAAGTCATCTAAGCGCACAGGGCCCCCTCCGAGAGGTGGGGGAAGGGCGTGCCGAGCCCAGTGCTCTGCCAGGCTGCTGTGAGCCGTCCAGAGGGGCAGAGGACAAAAGAGAACCCACTGCAGAGACAGTCTTTGCAGTCCGTTTGTCCTGG